ATGACATCCTTCTCCAGCGACTGTTCCCTCCTGACAATATGTCCAAAGTATGAGAGACGAAGCTTAGCCATCTTGGCCTCCAAGGAGCACTCTGGCTATACTTTTTCCAAAACAGATCTACTGGTTTTTTTGGCAGTCCATGGCAATTTTAGTATTCTCCTCCAACACCACAATTAATTCAAAGGCATCAATTCTTCTACGATATTCCTTATTCACTGCCCAGATTTCGCGTCCATATGAGGTTATTGAAAATACCATGGCTTGGATCAGGCGCACCTTAGTCCTCAAGCTGACATCTCTGCTCTTCAACACTTTAAAAAAGTTCCTATGCAGCAGATTTGCCCAATGCAATACGTCATCTTGATCTCTTGACTGCTGCTTCTGCGAATGTTGATAGTTGATCCAAGAAGAATGAAGTCCTTGGCAACTTTAATCTTTTCTCCGTTGATAAGAATGTTGTTTATTGGTCCATGCTATCATGAAACTTCATCACACTACCCATACCCATGGAGTCCTGGTGTGGCACAATAGGATACGCACTGGACTGCTAACCACAAGGTCGGTGCTTCAAGCCCACCAACTGCTCCTAGAAAACCCAATATAGGGTCACCATGAGTTGGAACCAACTTGACAGCACTTAACAACAACCCATTCCCACATTATATGGGTATTTCATAAAATACATTATTAGATGGAACAGAAATGAACTGAACTGGAATATATGGCAGGGCTTAAAAAAGTTTGTGGAAAATTCCATTGTCTTTAAATTCAATTTTTCCATGAATTTTTGAAGCTCCCCCGTATAGGTTTTTGGGGAAGAGAAATTGTCCAAAGGACGGTGGTGTGCTGTAGGGTAATCTTGTTGAACAATGGGGCTTGCCCATTAAAAATTCAGCTAAGTCCAAACTGGGAGCCTGTACTGTGCTCTGTCATATGCCTTCTCCTAGACTGCTCAGCATCCTTCACTCCCACCCAATACAACTCATGGCACATCTCTGCTGTCATGTTACTTTTTATACGAAGGCATTGCACACTCACCCGACATTACTTTTACAAATCAAGCTGCAGAGATAAATTGCTGATAAACGTCAATGATAAAAAACAATTATGAAAACAATTTATGGTACCCAACCAGGGGTAAAAAGGGAAGCAAAAGAAAAGTATCAATTAACCATATGCTTTGTGGCTGGAACATAATAGAATGGTGAGTCATTTTCGTCCTTTTCTTATTTTACACAGTGCCAGCGATTCCAAAAGCAGTCCAGTAATCAATTCTTTCTTTTGAACCTATCATTTGAAGGTTGGAGAGCCTGAAAAAATCAGTCAGTAGTAACAGCCCTTTTTTACTTCAGGTCTATTAAAGAGTGCTTACATGTCCGATTTGAAAGCGCTATCTTGAGACTATCTTCCCAAAATGCCGGGGTCTAGAAAGTATATCAAATACAAATGACTGGCTGAAAAACATACCTGAGAGTCCTGCACAGAAAGAGACTGGATTTGCTCCGGAATACTGCTGGCATTCATTGCGATCTGTAAAGAGAGCCACCATTACAGCACTTCACAAAACCAAAATGAGACATTAGAGTCAGTGAGGGTCCATTAAGCCTTAGGTATATCAGAGACAACGGATTTTCGAAAGGTCTTAAAAGGCAGCGTTTCACAAAGAGAGTCATCTTTGAGATGACCAAGGTCCTACCAGGTCCCACCAGACTGTGATCAGAATTTCCTGGCGTTGGGAGAGACTGTATCTTCAGGAGGTTCCTCCTTCAGATGCTTTTAGAGAACCACTGAACCCATGGGCAGAGAAGGCACTCATTGAGATGTTCAACTTGTTAACAGAGAGAGGTCTTAGGATCATTTTTCTTGTTCATGATTTGATTTTAAGTTAAGGACCCCCAAATGAGAGAATCTGGGAATTTGTAAAATCTGTCCCTTTAATCATTACTTTAAATAAATGGATTATAAAAATAAGTTAAGAATTGTTGGATTTTAAAATATATTTATCATGAAACCCAGACATGGCACCATGTTGGTGTAATGAGTCCCTGAAACTAAACCTTAAACCAAAAATATCCCCTAAAGTCGTCTTAAAACAAAATAATGTTATGGTTGTTAAATGCCACTGAGTTGGTTCCTACTCATAGCAACATCATATAGGGTTTCCAAGGGCTAGTGGATTTGAACTGCCAACCTTGTGGTTAGCAAGTCCGGTGTCTTAGCTTTAATAGTATGTTGTTGTTATGTGCCATGGAATCAGTTCCAACTCATAGCGACCCCGTACAGGGTTTCCGAGGCTGCAAATCTTTATGGGAGCAGAAAGCCTCATCTTTCTCCCACGGAACAGCTGGTAGTTTTGAACTGCTGACCGTGAGATTAGCAGCCTGATTCGTAACCACTATGCTACCAGAGCACCTTAGCTTTAATAGTATAGTAAACGTTTATTGGTGTGGTGCTGTAGGATAAGCACTGGACTGCAAGATCAGTCTGAACTGCAAGGTCAGTGGAGCAAACTCACCAGCTACTCCTCGGAAACCCTATACAGGATGGCTATAAGTCGGAACGGACTCGATGGCACTTAACAACAATAACCAACAAACGTCTGCCTTCAGCATTGTTCCTATTGGGGAGAAGCAACTCAGAAAAGAAGGATGAAAATGATAATACTACTTAATGAATATGACCAGTGTCACTAAATTGTACATGTAGAAATTTGTTAAATTAGTATATATTCTGCTGTGTATATCCTCAATACCTACAACAAAACAAAATTATATATATATAAACATTTTGCCAACAGAAACGCCAAATTGATACGCTGTATTTTTCACTCAAAGATAGGAACCAGACCCTAATGTTACACGTTAACAATTTTTGCCTCCAGCACTTTTGTGAACTTTGTCCTGAAGCAAAACTTGAAAGGTACAGTCCTCAAAGAGAAACAGCAATGAAAATGAATGAAAAGGCGCGCCTATGATTAACCTTACCATCAATTTAAAAATAATCAGACACCATCAGATACTCTTTGTGGCAATAATTTTCTGAGTTTAAGAGCACAATTTATTTTTTTTTTTAAACTTTTTATTGTGAATTGAGTCAAGATTTACAGAGCAGATCTTCAGCTTTACTTTCAGCAAATCACACACTTTGCTTCATTACAATGATTGCAATCCCCTCCATGTATCATCAGTTAACTTTTGTTGCCGTTAGGTACCGTAGACTTGATTCCTACTTATTGCATCCCTGCTTAGGGATTCCAAGGAGTGGCTGTTGGGTCTGCACCACTGACCTTGTGGTTAGCAGTCTAGTGCTTATCCCACAGCACCACACCATGACTCCTCAGTCTACAGGATTGACTTCTATTTCTTTTAACTCTTACACTCCTTATAGCTCCTGCTACCTTCATCTTTAAGACCATAAAATTCTTCTACTCTTCTTTCTCAAAAAATAATTATATTACTATTTAAATAATAGGAGGAAGTGTACTGGTATCTGCAATTTATTTTGAAATGCATAAAAATTAATGCATATTGAAATGATGGATAAACAGGTGGATAGATATATAAAAATCAAGTACAGTAATAATAGAATCTAGGTGGTAGGCAGATGGGAATTGACTGTAAGTCTTCAAAAACTGCTAGCATGTGTGAAGTATTTCCTAATAAAATGTTGGGGAAAATGACAATGTTAGAAGAGCAGATCATCTGTATTCATTATCCAGCCTAAGGGCATCCAATGATCTCTTGCAAATAATCATTCAGACTGATTCCGATTGGTTGGGATCTTTATTTTGGTCTGAGCTATAACTGAAAGTCACACCATCACTTGCAACACATCCCGTTTTTAGCCAAAGAACAGTATAATCGGAAACGCCTCAGACAAATTTACTTAGAGGTGACACCTCTTCCTACTGGGGAGGTTCTTAGATATTGCCTTGCTCCTTTATTGACAGACCATCAAAAGGATAAAGGGCTAGCTAACTGAAGTGGTGCACAAACTATGCAGCCTCATAGTGTTAGTGTATTGTTATTAGGTGCAGACAGGCTGATTCCCACTCACAGAGACCCTCTGCACAACACAACCCAAGATTGCCCTGCCCTGCACCATCCTCACAATCGTTAATTTTGAGCCCATTGCTGCTGCCACTGTGTCAATCCACCTCATTGGGGTCTTCTTCTTTTTCACTGACCTTCTACTTTACTAAGCATAATATCCTTCTCTAGGGACTGATCACTCCTGATAATGTGTCCAGTGTATAAGAAACAAAATCTCACTCTCCTCACTTCTAAGGAGCATTCTGGCTGTACTTATAAAGTTAGGTTTTGTTTGTTCTTCTGGCAGTCCATGCCATTTTCAATATTCTTTGCCAACACGTGCACTGATTCTTCTGAAGTCTTCCTTATTCACTGTCCAACTTTCAAATGCATATAAGGGACTGAAAATACCACGACTTGGCTCACGTTAATCCTCAAGCTGACATCTTTGCTCTTTAACACATTAAAGAGGTTTTTTGCAGAAGATTTGCTTAACACAGTATTGTCCTTTGATTTCTTGACTGCTTTTTCCACGTGTGTTGATTGCAGATCCAAGTAAAATGAAGTCTCTGACAACTTCAACATTTTATTTTTTTATTATGATATTGTGTATTGGTTGATTCAGGTGTGAGGATTTTTGTTGTCTTTACACTGAGGTGTAATCCATAATAAAGTCTGTAGTCTTTGATTTTCATCAGCATTTCAAGTCCTCTTTGCTCGTAGCAAAGGTTCTGGGTAACCTGCATATATTGTTGTTAAGTACCATGGAGTCAGTTCCAACTCACAGTGACCAAACACAGGGTTTCCAAGGCTGTAAATCTTTACAGGAGCAGAGAGTCTCATCTTTCTCCCACAGAATGGCTGGTAGTTTCAAACTGTCGACCTTGAGGTTAGCAGCCCGCTACCAGAGCTCCTTTACAACAAGTTGTTAATGAATCTCTTCCTCCCATCTTGATGTCATGTTCTTCATCATATAATCTTCATCAGATAATTAGATTATCTGCTCAGCATATAGACTGAATAAGTATGGTGGAAGGATACAACCCCGGTACACATCTTTCCCAATTTTAAATGATTCAATATCCCCTTGTTCTGTTCAAAAGATTGCCTCTTTTGAACAGGTTCTTTATGAGCACAATTAAGTATTCTGGGATATACATTCTTCTCAATGATATCCATAGTTTGGTACAATCCAAACAGTTGAAAGTATAGTCAATAAAGCGCAAGTAAACAAGGAGTCCTGGTAGTATAGTTGATTACTAACTGGGCTGGTAACCGCAAGGTCAGCAGTTTGAATTTACCAGTCACTCTGAGAGAAAAAGATGAAGCTTTCTGCTCCAGTAAAATTTACAGCCTTGGAAATCCTATATAGGGTCGCTATGAGTTAGAACCAACTAGGTGGCATACAACCACCACCAGATATCTTTTCATCTTTCTGGTATTCTCTGCTTTTAGCTAAGATCTATCTGATGCCAGCAGTGATATCCCATTTCCTCTTCTGAATCCGGCTTGAACATCTAGCAGCTCCCTATCTATGTACTGATGTAACCATTTTTTAATTATCTTCAGCAGAATTTTACTTGCATGTGGTATCAATATTTTTTGTTAATTTCCTCATTCCATTAGGTCATATTTCTTTGGAATAGAAACAAATATGGATCTCTTCCAATCTGTTGACCAGGTAGCTGTTTTCCAAATTTCTTGGCACAGACAAGTTAGCACCTTCAGTACTGCTTCAGTTTGCTGAAACATCTCACGTCAATTCCTAGAGCCCGGTTTTTGTCAATGACTTTAGTGTAGCTTGGACTTCTTTGTTTAAGATCATTGTTCTTGAACATTTGGTACTGCTTAAAATGATTAAACAGTGACCAATTCTTTTTGGTACAATGACTTTGTGCATTCCTTCCATGCTTCCTCCATCATTCAATATTTTGTTGATAGCATCTTTGAATATTGCAACCTGAGGCTTGAATTTTTTTTTTTTTAGTTCATTCAGCTTGAGAAATGCTAAGGGTGCCTGTTATTCCCTTTGGATTTTCTACCTTCAGGTTTTTGCACATTTCATTATAATACTTGACTTTATCTTCTCAAGCTGCACTCTGAAATTTTCTGTTCAGCTTCTTTATTTTTTATTCCTTCTAGGTGCTTTAGCTTCTCTATATTCAAGAGCAAGTTTCAGAGTCTCTTCTGACATCCTTTTTAATTTTTTTAATATAAGTTTTTATTGTGAATTGAGTGGTAGTTTACATAAGAAAGCATCAGCTTTACATTCATCCTATTGTATTTTGTTTCATTGCATTGATTACAATCCCCTCCATGCATCACCATTCAACAGCATTTGCCTCCAATCCCACACACACACACTTTTTTTGGGGGGGGTGTACACTGAAGCACTTAAGAAAATAAAACCATTCAAACAACCAAAGGGTATACCCTGCACGCAAGTCCCCCAGCCGCCAGCACACAGCCCCTCTCCCTCCTTGAGTCTAGAGTCCTCAG